TTGTGACAACCTGTGCTCGTATACATTAGCTTATCCAATCACTTTTCCCCTGTGCTTGGTGAAATTTGTTAAATTAATTCAGCTGCAATTAGCAGATTTATGGGAAAGTACCCTGTTATCCTTTAATTGAAGAGCATAAAAACTACAGAACTGAGTCTGCTGGTTCTATTTGTGTAATAGGCAATCTATCTACGACAAGGTTTGATCGATGGAGTCGTATGATGCCCTTGCCTTGTTTTATATAGGCTGTCAGCTCTTAACTGGGACTGAAGTATCTGGGTAACAAAAATTGATATAATGACTTAATGCGCCTTATTCTCTTTGAGCTACATCAGTTTAGAGCACTTCTGAGAGAAAAATGTCTGGAAAATATCAGGGAGTCATTTATCAACCTGTTTTCATTAGCATACCGCCTAGGACTGGAAAGGATTTGAATTTTTTTTAAAAAGCAGGATGGTACAATTTATTTCAGGTCTCATATTTCTTGGATGAAAGAAGACTTCTAATAAAAGGAAATATGGAAAGATGCTTTTCTTGCTCTTCTTTACTAAATAAAAACTAGGGGAGAAATATCACTTTGAATTCATTATTAATAATGCAGCAAGTATATTGGTAAGAATATAATTTAGTAAAATAAATGTACTTTTTGGGTTGTTTGTTTTTGCATTTGTTTGGCACCTGAGATGCGCAAAGGATGTCTGTATGTGATGTCTGGGGCCAGGGAAGGGTGTTGGAAGTTCAAAGGGTTTAATCTAAATTATAGCCTGCTCACTCTAATGATAAAGCTGTTCTGCTATTCATAGGTTGCAGAAAGTGAAAAAGAAAACTACACAAACATTTTGGACTAGAGGGGGTTGAAAATATGTTCAAGTATATAGAATCATTTGTCCTGCCAACTACAGGATGCTAACCACAAGAAGAGATAATGATAACCGAAAGGCTGTTCTTTGTGAGAATATCCCTTTTCTTTTTGCATGAAATTTTTATGCATCAGTCAGACTACATACAGTGCACCTAATGTATAAAATAAATTGGTGCATAAATCAGGTTATGAGAAGCATGTAACAAGCCTGGCTTTTGCCCATAGGAATCTCATATGAGCATGGGAAAACTCTCATTTAAAAATAATAATAACATAAGGACTTCTCTTGGGAGGTGGCTGGATTCTCATTTTACCAATATCACCGTCTAGATTGTTATACAGCCCAAGGACAATCCAGATTAAGAGAAAGGGGTATGCAGAAGTACTGTGCTTTTATTGTAACAAGTGCTACTTTTCTAGAAAACGCCTCCCTTGTTCTCTTATAATGGCAGCGGCCACCCACCTGAGAGGTGCTGGAACTGAGCTCTGGCGTGTTCCAGCTGAAAAAAAGCTGTTTGTAACCATGTCTATAGTTTGTAATGATATCAGTGAATTGGGTTTTGGTTGAACAGAGAAATTTATTACAGGTAAATGTATTGATTAGCATATAGATTCCCTGACATAATAATAAATTATTATTGGTTACAGACGTTATCTTGTGGCTAATTTAGTTTCACATCTTTCCATCAATGATGTAAAACTGCCATAGGGCTGAAATATTTAGCACATTATTGTTATTCCTTTCCATCTGAAAACAGCAAATAAATGCCAGTTCTGTGTTATGTGGTGCTAGGCTTGGATTAGCAATACTGTTTGGATCAAGGATTTGGATTAGCCGTGTTGACCTTATAGATATGTGAGATATAGAATATATAGCATATGTCTGATTATATTAACTAGCTTCCAAACCTTTCAGGGTTCAGCCTTATTCATGCATTCCAGTCCTTCGCACTGTGTTACTTTTGTACCACCAGCCCTGAACGGAAGGGATCACTTCTGAAGTAGAGATCTTCCAGGGCTCTAAATCACAAAGGGAACCTACATAAGTAGATCAGGCCCTCCACCACAAATGTTTGCCTCCAATCATGGAGTGAATAGGGGGGGAGGCAGACCTAGCCTCTCCACCCCCATCATGTAGTTCTAATGACGCAAGTGAATAGCCTGCATAGGGCTATAGAGAGTACGTCTATCAGTAGCTATTAGCCATGGTAGCTAAGCTGAAACTCCAAGCTCAGCAGTATATCTCTGAGTACCTGATACAGGGGACAAAGAAGTAGGTAGGGTAGCCTTTATGCCCCAGCGTTAATATTTCTGAGGCATTTGACAGGCCACTCTTGGAAACAGAATGCTGGACCAAATAGATGCTTGCGTTCTCTGTCTTACCGGGGGGGGGGGGGGATTCAGTGTCATTTCTTGTTCTTGATACTTTTGATGGTTTGGGATACTTTGGATCGTTTGGCATGAGATGGGATGGTGAGGTTATGGTGTTCATTCAGTAGCAATCGGATGGCAGTATAGTTAAGAACTTTTAAAAAGCCATAGCAAAAATCATAGGCAGACAAAGTAAAGGAGAAACTGCTGTCCTTTGCTTTCATAACCATCATGTTGCATTGTCTGCCTCTCAGTAGCATGGGAAATATTTCCTGTTACTCTCTCTATTTATTTTTATTACCAGGATTTGTACCCATATCACTATGCTAGGCTTTTAAGAACAACTACCTGAACTCCCGTCCCAGCGCCTGCCAACCTAGCAGTTCAAAAGCACCCCCGGGTGCAAGTAGATAAATAGGGACCGCTTACCAGCGGGAAGGTAAACGGCGTTCCGTGTGCTGCTCTGGCTCGCCAGATGCAGCTTGTCACGCTGGCCACGTGACCCGGAAGTGTCTGCGGACAGTGCTGGCTCCCGGCCTATAGAGTGAGATGAGCGCACAACCCTAGAGTCTGTCAAGACTGGCCTGTACGGGCCAGGGTACCTTTACCTTTACCTGGACTTTGGATCCCAAGAGCTACTATCGGCAATCTAAAAGGCTTGCAGCGAAACTTTCTTCTACTTCTTCTTCTTCTTCTTCTTCTTCTTCTTCTTCTTCTTCTTCTTCTTGTCTGCCCTTATGCCAGATCACAAACCACATTTGAAGATACCCTCAGTTTCAAAAGCAGTTAGTCAAGTCGCATTGGGGAGCTGTGTATGCTGATGATATTCAACCTTCTGCTTAGCCATGGCATCTCAAAGGGGTGATAGACATGAATTGCGGCATCTGTCAAGATTCTGTTCTACTGAGGGTGATTCATATAACCATCCATCACCACTGATTGGCAGCTTTTGTCATACCAGCAATGATGCTCAGCAGTGAAAGCAGCAGCCTGTGGGCATGTACAGGGAAGGCTGCTATAAGGTACAGCTTAACGGCAAATGAATCACAAAACAACCCCCCCCACACACTTCAAATATACACAACACAACACAGAGACTTGGGTAACAGACAGTTGCAACAATCCACTCCACAATGCATGGCGTTTAATTGTTCTGAAAGTAAGTGAGCAAGTAGTTTTTAGATGTGATGTTTATATATGTGCAACATTTCCCTGGCTTGTACCTCTTGCTCATACTGTGCTACTAACAGGGTGTTCTCTTGTTGCCCAGTAGGAAGGGGGACGCTCACACTGTAGGGCAAACACAGGAAACACCTCCCTCTGCTCTTTTCCAGTGATAATAGCAGTGGCAGACCTGGGACTCTCATATTTCAGCGGCACCCTGCCTCTCGCTCTTCATTCAACAACATGGTTGTGGTATGCTCTGCAGCTCGGCACCCAGTGCGCACGTTGCACTACCCTAAAACCTCCTCTGATAATAGCCATCAAGCAGAGAGCAGAGGTGGAGTCAATTACCGGTATTTCTACCTGCCTCTGGCTCAGTGTCACTTGTATTGTAGCTGAACAACTTTTTCAAGTAGCTGAGCAAACTGGAATGGGAAGCCTCCCCACACCCACTTGCTGGAAACATAGGAGCCAAGAGGATGCCAACACACTGCAACTTCCTGTATTTACTCCTCTTCAACTCCAGTGCTGCTGTTATTGTGAGGCATAAGCCAAGCTCACTATGAGAAGAGGTGTGACTTTCCTTCTCCAGCTGAAGCCTGTTCTCCCCAAAGCAGTGCGAGAGGTTGTTTGCTGGCAGAAATAATTTGCAATTGTAAGAATCTGACCACGTTATTTTGAAGCATATACAAGGAAGTTGTACAACAGAGACAGCTAGTTCTATTTTATTATTTTTTAAAACATTTTCAGTAATGCTGTGGAGGAAGTTGTCTCCCACTTTTGTGATCCTCTTTGCAAACTGCAAAAGACAAGGGCTCAAGGACAGACAGACATATCTACATGACTAAAAGAGGGAATAACCAGAAGACAAATGGCATTTATGTCAGTTCCCCTGCTTCTTTTTTCTTAAACATGGTTGTTCTGTCACCACTTTTGGCAGGGACTATAATCTCCCCCTCCCCATAATGGCTCTAGAACAATGGTGCTTTGTATGTAATATTGTGTTATTCAAATGGTCAGTGTGTGGGAAGTCCATAGAGCTGATAACAGCAGCAGTAGCAATGAAGATGAAGAAAAATTCCCGCAGCTACAAACCTTGCTTATTTCCAGTTAAGCCCTCTCTACCCAAAGGTTTTAAGAGAAAGGGCAATAATATTTATCCTCTCTCTGCCCCTCAATTTGGGGAAAAATTACTACATAGAATCTTTCTCAGCTCTTAATTTTTAATCCCCAAGGAAGATAATTGGCTTTGTGGCAATCCCTTTAGCCCTTCATATTCTCAAAATGATTGATATGAACAAGTCTGTGGTGATGACCCTCTCACAGATGTCAGGATCTTAAACAATTATCTTCTGTATGAAATTAGATGCTTTTAAACACATTTATGGATCCCCCACATTATGTGATAACACTTCTTTCTTCAAATGCCCCGGCCCCCTCATTTCTAAAGTTAAGCCAATGAAGTTTTTTTTCCTGAAGCATAAATATATATCATGCATATTGAGACATCCTAAACATTTTACTGAACTGCACTGTCTGGGCAGTGAAATGGAGCAAGCACACAGTGCAATAAGAAATCATCACCTCTCTTCCTTGCTGCCCATCATCACTATCAATATGACAGATTGACGTTCAGCTATTGTCATTTTAAACCGTAATTTTATGATTTCTCAGATGCAGTCTATATCCAGTCTATGATTGGCAGGCATTGTTGCATATATAAGTTTGCCCTCTTCAGTTGTTATAGTTCCCATGCTATTGTACATAGGAGCAGGGATGACCAAGTAGCCCAAGCCGATGTGACCTGGAACCCCAGTTGTTCAGAGTTCTAGGTTATGTGGAAGTCTTTGTATATGTAAACTGTATTTACGAATTCTCTGTCTCTGCAGGCATTTGGACTGTGCCCATGGATGCCAGTGGTCAGCGCTAGCTGGCACAACCCCACTCCTATACAGAGCAACATGGGAGTTGTAACAACTGAAGACGACTGTAACTGTTTAGTGGAAAGGCAGTATTCTTAGTCTATGAGAAATCCATGGCAGTTTTCCTTTATCATGACTGCTTTCAGTTGTTTGCAGCAACTGCTTTCTCACTGTTTTCTCCGTGGCTTCACTGGCCATTTTTATTTAATTATTCATTGAGTGTTTGCAGCCAATCAGGAGTCATATACATAGTATGATAACATCACAATGCAATACAGTAAAGTGTCACAGCTTATGTTGTTGAGGGTGTTTCCTCTTATGGCTCATGATGGGCAAGACACCACTGATTCCAACCTTTCCTCTGCCATAAACTCACCTGGTGACCTTAGGCAGGCCAATCACATACTCTTTCAACCATAGCCTCCTTTCCAATAATAGGATGCTATCTTACAGGACCATTTCCCAGATTACATCAAAATAATGTGTATGAACTGTTTTGAGCACTCTCTCAAGTTCTTTTATAAATAAGTGTTACTGTTATAGTTTCAAGTCTGAGGAGGACTGCTTGTTGAAGAGGAGGAGAATTTGGAAGGGAATATAATGTTGATCTGTGAGGTTAAAATGTTATGCGTTTTAAGATTGTCAAATTAGTAATTGCTGCAAACAGTAGCATAGTTTGTATAAGATAGGTCAGTGTTATAATTACAATAGATGCATTGGTGTAAAATTTAAACTTTTAATGTGCTTTAGGCTGCTGATGAATAATTTCAGGGCCTCATGAGGTGATGGCACTGCTGTCTCTCAGTTAATTTAGAGCCTAGTGGTGTTTCATTGGTACCTGGAAGTCAATTCACAGATAGCAAAACTTTAGAGCCAACTTCAGAGAAACTTACTTTGAGGAGATAGTAAAATTACATTAGTTAAACTTCAGAGAGGAGAAGGGGTACATAATGTGGCAGGTTCCCAGAATAAATTATTCAATCAAGAGGAGAGCTTATGTGGGAACCAGTGCAATTTTTCTATAAAAAAGAGGTGCCAGGAACACCTCCCTTGTTCTCTTAGAATGGCAATGGTGCCCACCTGAGAGGTGCTGAAACTGAGTTCCGGTGAGTTCCCGCTGAAAAATGTACTGGTGGAAACACATCAACATAGATACATCTGACTACATTTAATCCCTCCACCCCACTCAGAAAATCAAGGTGGAAAACAATGGGTGTTTTCCTACCAGATACCTTTGCTTAGATGCCCTAGTAAACCATTAAAAAGTGGATGAGTATCTTTTGTCTGACACTTAATTCCCATTGCTGCGCTATCAGTGCAGATTTAAGACTCTCTCAACTTGTTTTAAAATGGCAAAGATAAACACAATAGAGAGAGGCTAAGAGGTTAAGCTACAAATCAGGAAGTCTCTGGGTAAAATTTTGCTTCTCCCATGAACTCACCAGGTGACTTTAGTCTACTCACTCATTCTGTTTGCTCCTCCAGTTGTGTAAAGCTGGTTGATTATGCCAGGAAGCCAGATGAGCACTTGCATGCCAAGGCCCTGTGACCTGCAGTTCCCTAGTGCATAATAAACACACGGACATGAGTATTTAGGTTTATGGGTTCAAATAGGCCACAACTTTATTGGTTACAGATGTGAGCAGTTTGGATTAGTCATTGGGTGAAGCCAGGCTATATTGTGACTCACGCCCATCTGCAGGGAGTCCATCTAAGTGTAAACCGCCAATAGGGGGAGCCCTATGACTTACATCAAATAGGGGCATCCTAAGGGGTCCCCGATGGGGTTGTGGCATGGCCCTAGCTCACATCTGGGCATCAGACAGAATCCACACCCCCGGATCCCTTTAACAGGATACCCTTAATGAGGAGGGGCATGCGGAGGCTACAATCTCCCATCGATCCAAACAAAGCTTACCCAATGTCTAACTTCACAAAGTTGTAATGATTGTTACAAGGTAGGTGAAAACCAAGTGGCTGGTGCCAATTTGCCAAGTGGAAAAAAATTCCTACCCAATCCCAACAATATGGCGACCAATGTTTGTCCATAGCAAGTTCATGTCATCTGGTGAAGGGCGCAAGAGGAGGGCTCTCCAGCTGTGCCGCAGTTTAAGTTTCCTGCAGCCCAGACTCCTGCCAGCACTAATTGGATAGCGGGGCCACCCTTGGGCAGGCCCAGCACCGGCGACGTGGCCTGGATGGCAACGATGGAGGCATTGATCTCTGCCTCCTGCCAGATCACTGTAGGAGCCCAATGCCTGGCCGCAACATTGCCCACCAGAAAAGGTGACCGGACCTTCCTAACACTTTCCTGTACCTTTCTAAAGGACCATTTCCTGATATTCCTTCTCAGTGAAGCTACCTGGCTATGCTCCTAGCCAGAGTGAGGATCTTGGTCAGAGTTGTTTCTATTTGGCTCAGTGACATCCCTCTAGCTCTTTCACTATGGAGAGAACTGCTGATGAATTTCAAGTATAGGCAACATCAAGGCTTGCAACTTTGCAAAGTTTTTTTGTTTTTGTTTTTTTAAGAGAAGCTTACATAATAGGGGCCAAAAGATTGAATCAGTGAGCTGTGGGATCATGTCACTTATTTTAATAGTTTTATATAATTGTCAACTTTGATAACTGATCAGAAGCAAAACAGAAGAAACAGATCCATCTTTCTCCTTTGTGTGCTGTGATATGCTGAACGCACAGTGTTGCTGCTACCCATATATGGGCAGAAAGCATTTCTATGCACTCACAGGGGGATGTTGCGCCTGGCATCTCTCCTCACCCCCAATTGGATGCAATTCCAGAGGTTTCTTGAACCCTCAATAGTAACTTATATGGGGAATGCAAAATGCCTTAACAAACACACAGAATCTCAGTCTGTGGAGCTCTACATAGCACAGTGGACAGCCAACTTTCTATGTTCTTGAGACTGCTCTACTTTAAAAGCTGTGATACAGAGTCACTATCTAGCAGTAGGGCTTCAGAGTTGTGTTGTACAGGCAGATGGGCTTTGCAGAATCTTGCAAACAAAGCAAGTTCGTATATTACCGGTAGATCTTTTGAAAAACCATTTTATTTCCCTTCTGAGTGAGAATGTAGGCAGTTTCCTACCATAATCTTGATTAAAATTTCATAGAACAACCAGAGGCTAGATAGCATTACTTTAGGCACCAAATCTGGAAATTTCTTATGTAGCAGTTACAAACCTTTATATATATATATATAATAATTTCCCCTCAAAAATAAGTGCCAAATCACAGAGGATTTCGTTAGTGCTTTTCTGTGGCCCCCACTCATTTGAGTTGAGCTTGTGTAGGAGAGCCTTTCTCCATATTGTGCTTCTAAGTGTTCAAATGTCTGCAAGAATCCAGGACAAACTTCTCTTGCACGATAGCACTGAATTGACCAATGGCACAAACTTATCTGTGCATGTCTTTAATATTTCTCCATAAAAACAGATTACACCTGCATTTGGGCTTCCATCTTCTTGAAGGGAGGAGGTTGGAAGGATATGCACACACATGTGAGAGTATAAACACATCATTATGCTTTCATGACAGATAAGCTTTCTCCATTCAAGTGTAAACTCATTTTTCTTTGGATGACCTTTAAATAGTATTGTGCTATTGTATGGGATTTAAATCAATAATTGTGTCAAAGCAAAATATACTGCAGTTTTTTCCTTTATCATTTAAACTCTTCTGCAAACTATCAAGGCGATTTTAATGTGCTGTCCTCAGAAGAGGAGATGGGGAGGGAGGGAAAGTCCCTGAAAATTTGCATAAATATAACTAAAGAAAATGCAATTCTATTCCTTATTTCTGTTTTTTATTTTCTTGCTTTATCTTGCAGAATGTTCAAGCAGCAGGCAAACAGCCCGTGCCACTATAATTAGTAGCTTAATACCATCTCTGCATTCCCATTGTAAAACACCAGTGTGTCCCAGGTGTGAGAAGGTTAAAATGAGAAGTACCCAGTAGTTATGAAGCTGCAATAATGAGTTTCCTTCTACTTACCATGGATTTGTGTGATATACAACTTGCAATTAAGCATGGCTTGGTGATTCAGTGATTAATGTATATACGACTCCTAAAGGAGCAGCTCAGCCCTCCCGTCACATCCTTCTTGATGTTTACAGCTGGGTACCTATTAACAGGAAGATGGAAAGGGCCATTTACAATTCAGTAACCTTTATGACAGTGAACTCTTTAATCAGCATTTTATTTCCTTTGTAACACTTTAGTCATCTACAAATGTCAGAATAAAATAGGGCCATGAAATATTTAGGATCGGCATGTGGAAATTGACTTCCCTGATTTAAGCTGCTGTGTCTTTTCATTTTGTTGTTTTGGGAGCTCTTTACTTTTTATTGAAAGACAATTTATAACTAAATGCTCCCAATAGTGACTTAGCATTAGTGTAGGCGGAATTACTGAAATCCAAGTTCTCGTTCTATAATATGTTGATGCTTCCTGGATTTGGTAATAAGTTATTCAAATAAAATCATTAGCTGAGGGCTTCTGTTAAACTTGCAGTAGAATATATATCTTGTGCATGTAGAACACACTTATGGAGTGAGTAAAGAACCAAACATACTTTACAATGTAAATTAAATAAAATGTGCACATTGCTGGTATGAGGTGTTCGAGATGTGGTTTTTACACATCATTCTTGTCTGTCTGTAAATAAGGAAAAAAAAACCACTAATAAATATATAGGTGCTTTAAAAAGTACAAGTGTAAATCTGTAATGTAAATGAAGTAATCTATCATGTGTAGCAGAATCTTACATTATTGACCCTTTTATTATATTACATAGAGGGGAATTAATTACTCAGAATGAGATGCTTGAATTCTGGACTGGACTACTTCAGACTGTAGGTTCCCATGTTTGTGTCATGTTTTTGAATACTTCCCCAAACCAAATTAGGATGTCAAGGAGAGAGTTTAGCTTAGCTCTTTCTCAGTGATGTGCTCATTTACTACTTGCTGAGATTTTGGTTGGTTGGTTTTTGTAGGAGAGTATTTTTAAAAAGATACCATACCCACTTGCAATTGTAAGTGGTAATAGTACAGAATTCTTCTATCTCAATCTATCACCCCATTCTGCATAAAAGTGCAATAACTCTTAGTCTCTGGGTGTTATGTACCAGACTTACAACAGTGGCGTGGATATGGACCCAGGGGGTGAAGGGCTGGCTGAGTCAGTAACATCAGCCACAGAAGCAGTAGAAGGCTTTGTGTCACAAATCTACTCACCACTGCAGGCAGCATGCCTGGGAAGAGGTGATGGAGAGATGATGGACTACCAGGTTGCAGGCCAGAGGCTTCATTTTCTAATAAAGGAACAGAGCCTGAGAAGTGGTAGTCAGGGTGGGGGAAGTCTAAATGTGTTCAGTCAGCAACCAGCTCTTGTCAAAACCATTTGCTCTTCATACCTGTCCAGGGTAATAAAGTGCTTTTTTATCTCACTGCTTTTCTGGTGTGTGACCTTCAAATTGTTTGCTTGTCAGCCCCCTGCTCCAGCTATGTCCTCCAAACTTCCTCCAGATTCCCTCCAGGATCACCCCATCCAGGACTGAATACAAGGATATGGAGGTGGCCCAAGAAATTTAGGTTACATGAAGCAGAAAATGAAAATAGCTTCCTTCTCACTAATATAGAGCAAAACCACCCAAAAATATTTTTGGCAAACCCCATTAAAATGAATGAAGCTGTAAAAAAAGCTCCAGACTTGCACAGAACATTCCAGAGGATTTTTCTCAATGGGTCAGTTGTCCCTGGACATCCTCTTTAACTCAGTCATGAACAAAGCCATCCACTTTGACTTCCACCATGTTAAAGGCTTCATTAAAGGCTGAAATTCTCAGGATTGGTCATAAACAATATTATAATCCTTAATGTTTTTGATATTTCTCATAGACTCACTGGAAAACCACATAGCCTCTCTTCCATTAGTGTTTGAAAATACTAGATCAATTTCATAATTTAATATATTCTTAGAACATTCTCTAACTACATATTTACAATATTTTTTTAATTATTTCTAAAGTTATTTATATTCCCCTCACTCATAAAATATCAAGGCAGTGTACAACAATATCCAGCTGTCACTGGAGGTGCAGTTGTCCTCAGTGACTAGGAGTGCCTGTTACGAACATTGGTTGGTAAGATAGCTATGGCCATTCCTAGATTGGATAGTTTGAGCTCAGTTGTCCATGAACTGGACCTCATGGTTAGATAACTGCAATGTGCTCTATGTGGGTTTAGCCTAGAGGATGAGTCGGAGGCTGCAGCTGGTGCAGAACATGGTGACTAGGTTGTTTGTGGGGGCAAAGTACTGTCAGCATATGACACCTTGCTTGAGGTTTTGTGCTGACTGCCAGTCTGCTAGCAGCTCACGTTCAAGGTGTTGGTACGAATGTATGAGGCCCTATATAGCTCAGGGCCACCTTATCCAGGGCCACCTTATATACCTGATGGGTATATAGTGGGATAATTTTTCCTGCAAGTTCCAAAGATCTCAGAAGCCCTAAGTTCCAAAGATCTTGGAACTGGGCTGTTAGAGTGGTTGTCCCTGTTCGGTAGAATATAATTCCTGTTAAGATGAAAGGTGCCTGCTATGTACACTTCTGGAAACAGCTGAACACATTCTTGTCCTGACAGGGTTTCCCAGTTGGATAAAGGTGTTTTTTGTGCCATGTGTCTATTTTGTATTGTTTAAATTTTGTTTTGTCGACCACAGCAAACTATGGCAAGTTCTTAAAGAAATGGGAGTGCCTGATCACCTCATTGGTCTCCTGAGAAATCTCTATGTGGGACAAGAAGCTACAGTTAGAACTGGATATGGAACAACTGATTGGTTCAAAACTGGGAAAGGAGTACAACAAGGCTGTATATTGTCTCCCTGCTTATTTAACTTATATGCAGAATTCATCATGCGAAAGGCTGGGATGGATGAATCCCAAGCTGGAATTAAGATTGCCGGAAGAAATATCAACAACCTCAGATATGCAGATGACACAACCTTGATGGCAGAAAGTGGGGAGGAATTAAAGAACCTTTTAATGAGGGTGAAAGAGGAGAGCGCAAAATATGGTCTGAAGCTCAACATCAAAAAAACAAAGATCATGGCAACTGATCCCATCACGTCCTGGCAAATAGAAGGGGAAGAAATGGAGGCAGTGAGAGATTTTACTTTCTTGGGCTCCATGATCACTGCAGATGGTGACAGCAGCCACGAAATTAAAAGATGCCTGCTTCTTGGGAGAAAAGCAATGACAAACCTAGACAGCATCTTAAAAAGCAGAGACATCACCTTGCCAACAAAGGTCTGTATAGTTAAAGCTATGGTTTTCCCAGTAGTGATGTATGGAAGTGAGAGCTGGACCATAAAGAAGGCTGATCGCTGAAGAATTGATGCTTTTGAATTATGGTGCTGGAGGAGACTCTTGAGAGTCCCATGGACTGCAAGAAGATCAAACCTATCCATTCTTAAGGAAATCAGCCCTGAGTGCTCACTGGAAGGACAGATCGTGAAGCTGAGGCTCCAATACTTTGGCCACCTCGTGAGAAGAGAAGACTCCCTGGAAAAGACCCTGATGTTGGGAAAGATGGAAGGCACAAGGAGAAGGGGACGACAGAGGACGAGATGGTTGGACTGTGTTCTCGAAGCTACCAGCATGAGTTTGACCAAGCTGCGGGAGGCAGTGGAAGACAGGAGGGCCTGGCGTTCTCTGGTCCATGGGGTCACGAAGAGTCGGACACGATTAAACAACAACAACAAATTTTGTTTTATATGTATCTGCTTTATCTTTCACTTTGTAACTTTGTGATTTGTGCTCATACTGTATTGTGATGGCCATTGGCTATAAACAATAAAATTTACTGACTGGTATTTGCTTTAAAGGTGGTTGTTTTTTAAAAAAAATATTTTTTATTAAAGATTACCTTGGGTTTCAAAGGTACGTGCATTGTCTCTATTTTCATGTTGCAGAGCCTTTTCTACAGATCAGTTACATTAAATGTGAGACATTAATGTTGTATACAGTATGACAGGGGTGCACAACTTGCAGCCCTCCAGATGTTTCTGAACTACAACTCCTATCAGCCCCAGCAAGCATAGCTGGTAATCAGGGATAATGGGAGTTGTAGTCCAACAACATCTGGGGGGTTGTAGGTTGTGCACACCTGCAGTATAAGGTTGGGGGAGAAGAGAGGTAGGGAGAGAGAGTTGGGGGGAGAGGGGTGGTGGTAAACTTACATTCTTTTACTTAGTTTTTAACTGTTTTTGCTGTTTTTGCTTAGTTTTTTACTGTTTTTGCTGATTATAAATTGATGATGATGATGATAATGATAATGACAGTACATAATAACACAATAAAATATAGGAAACTTAAAAAGAATATAAATAATCCCAAAATTTACTGTTTCATCTCGGGGGAAAAATAACTGAAAGGCTTGTCTGCATAAAAGAGTATTCAAGAGACACCTGCTAGTTAGAAGTGAGAAGACCTGCCAAATCTCTGCTTGAAGTGTCTTCCATAGCATGGGATCAGTGACACTAAATGCCAGATGTTTACTTGAAGCCAGTTGGGCTTCTGAAAAACAGGGGACAACTAACAGCGGCCCTCTGGATGATCTCATTGACTGGGATGTAAGGACCCAAGCTGTTCAGGGCTTTGTAGATTAAAGCAAGAACCTTGGACCTGATTTGGTATATTATATATTACAATATAATATGGATTGGCTGAGCAGTCAGATTAAATTATGAGCCCCAAGGGTTGGGACAGAAAGGTTAGGGTAAGAATGTGTGACTAGGTCAGGATACACGAATTTCTTACTTTACTTTCTGAGGATAACTGGGACCCAGCCATGTTTGATTGCTCATGAAGAGTGAACATAAGAAGAGCCCTGCTGGATCAGGTAAAGGCTTATCTAGTCCAAAATCCTGTTTTCACAATGGCCATGCAGATTTCCATGAGTAGCGCAAAAGCAGGATCTAAATGTAATATACTAGGTACAATTTATACAACTTGCATGCTTCAGAAGGCTAAGATGTATTTGAGAAGATGCAGCTACATATTTGAACATATTCTACAGTCCGTGCATATACATGGACATGCATGATTGTGCATTTTATATCACAGATATGTTTTTATTCCTTTTTGCTACCTTATATTGCAGTGCACTGATTGAACTACTTTGTGAATCTCATAAGCAGTTTCTAGATTTCCTCAGAGAGACAGCTAACTGATTGTATTAGAGGAAAAAGTCTCCAAGGACTGTCCTTTAGTCCTCATGCTTGTGTGCTTATCAGGAGACATGTATGTGGACAATGGGGAAATCAGAATGGTGGACCAGACTGAGATGGACCTCTGGTCTGATCTGTTAGGGCTCTTGTTGTGTTCTTAAGTTTAGATGCTCTGACAAAGGGCCACTGTGTAGACTTGTTGGTTCTTTGGGGCCAAACCAAATGCAGCTTTCTGTTTATTTCATGTGTTTGTTGTTGCCCATGCCTCTCTCTATCTGTATATGCACACACACTGTTAACATGGTCTCTCCCTTGGAGATTAAGGTATCATAAATAAAGTTACCAGGCATGTTTGAGACACATTTCTAAATTGCAGGTTCAAATAACAGTTCAACTACCTCACCTGTTTTCACAAGGAGGATGGAATATACAAAATATATAATAATGCAGTATTTGCCTTGAATCCTTTGATATCAGAATGAAAGTTAGTATGCATAATTAGAACACTTTGTTTAAGTTTTTATTTCTTTAAGTAAGAATATTTACAAACTATCAGCTCCTTTTAAAAAAAACACTCCAACAAAATCATTAAAATATCAGAGAATTATAAAAATCATAGATTACCAAATAAATCACCAACATGGAATCAAATTATTTATTTAACCCCCAATTTGGTGTTTCAATCCCATTTTAATTTGTGTACTCATTTCTGAGGGGGGGGGGTAAAGATATAAAAAGTGTGATGTAACAAGTAACCTAGGTCCGTATTCAAGCTGATGCAAAATGCATTTTGCCATTCCATTCATAGGAGGCAAGTTGCTGGAGGGACACATTCTGCCTGTTTTCAGGTTGGGGTGAAAATAAATGATTTGATTTTTGCAAGGGGAGGGAAATGCTCTGTACCTTTAGTTATATGGTGTGCATCTTTCTCTCCGCCCCCCTCCTCCATGGCAATGAGCCATGCTTGTGAAGCAATGTACTCAGCCAGTCAGCAAAAGCTCTGCTGTGGCTGCTGATTGGCAAGCAGGCAAACACGATTTCTGGTATAGTGGCTTTCCCATAAATCTTTTTTTTTGTCTGGTGGCAGAGAAATGGTGGCCATTGGCCAGTAGTCCACCACCAGAGCTATTGCTGGGTAGCTAGTGAAGCACATTTTTTACCCTCCCACACCTTCAGACATGGAAGTAGGGAAGCTTCTGTCTCTGCTCACTGCACTTCACAACTTAAAGGTCAATGCAACACGCTGCCCTCTTTCCTCTCACCTGAACAAAACTGCTTATTTTACCATTCCTCTCCTCCCGCTGAAGCAGCCCAGTTTACTGAACTGGATAATGACCCTTGTATGTAAATTTACGAGAGTTCTCATTAGACACTCTAATCCCTTACATGACTGGAGAGAGCAGGGAAGAGTATGGGGGCTCCACTGTAGTTACCATCCCATTCACTCTTCACTTGCGGAAGGGATTCTGAGGTGGGGAGTCTTTTCTACTCGTGTAGGTACTAGGCTCCCTGTGTGATTTAGAACCAATATCTTCTAAGATTCTACATTTCATGAACAGGGAAGGCTCCCTGCTTCAGACATTTTGTTCTGGTTCGTGGGAGGCGAGGACAGTGACGGTGGGAGTGAAACTAGCATACTTTTCTCCACTCTCTTTCATTCCATTCTAAGCATGTGTGTGACTTGAACACCCAAATAGGACTACTGCACCTTTCTCTTTTTGAAGTTTGAATGGCAGCTCAATCCTCATAGGGTGTGTGTGTGTTTTTTTAAGGCTTGGATAAAAGAGGCAAAATGCATTCTGCTGCAATATCTCAATTGGGGCTTCTCAAACATTGTGCATTGCTAATACTTACTGTACTGTAAAATTGGAAACCTCTATCAAGTGAAGATTATGCCTATACAGGGAAACCATTTGATATTGGGACAAGCATGGTAATGACTGAATAAACCACTGAGACCTGGTCTGCTGCTTGCTTTTCATTGCAGCATTACAAGGTGCTTTCCCACCTTAAACCAGCAGTTTCTGTTTTTTATTATATTTGCTGGCCTACAGCCTAGCCCTTTACCATGGGATTTGTTCTGATAACTTGAACAGCTGTGGTTAACACAAGTCTGCCTTGGGGACAAGTTGGCTCAGGGGAAGTTTGTCTAAATTCTTCCGCAAGAATCATTTTGAAAGCAGGACTCCCACTGGGCAGGGTGCTGTAGGTAGAGGGGTTTGATGTTTACTTCTAATTTTAGTGTGTTGAAGGGCAAAAGGACAGGGAATGCTTATTCGTCAAGAAAATGGTAATCACCAGCTGGGTAGAGTTCCTGCCCCTTCTGTTCTAAGACATGAACACTGAATGTATATAAAAATGTATGCATTGAGTGATTTGGGTTTGTACCTGCTGGCCTCATCTTGCAACATCCAACCACTGCACTGTGCAGATGAGACCCCAATTAAAAGGTTTCATCTGCACAGTGTCTGTGTTTACACATCAATGAACGATGATCCATCTCCTCCATTTTTCCAGAGTGTGGGATCTTGTCTTGTGTGTTGTTGTTGTTGTTGTTGTTGTTCAGTTGTTTAGTCATGTCCGACTCTTCATGACCCCATGGACCAGAGCATGCCAGGCACTCCTGTCTTCCACTGCCTCCCGCAGTTTGGTCAAACTCATGCTGGTAGCTTCAAGAACACTATCCAACCATCTTGTCCTCTGTCGTCCCCTTCTCCTTGTGCCTTCCATCTTTCCCAACATCAGGGTCTTTTCCAGGGAGTCTTCTCTTCTCATGAGGTGGCCAAAGTATTGGAGTCTCAGGTTCAGGATCTGTCCTTCCAGTGAGCACTCAGGGCTGATTTCCTTAAGAATGGAGAGGTTTGATCTTCTTGCAGTCCATGGGACTCTCAAGAGTCTCCTCCAGCACCATAATTCAAAAGCATCAATTCTTCGGCGATCAGCCTTCTTTATGGTCCAGCTCTCACTTCCATACATCACTATGTCTTTGTGTAGACTGGACTTTAACATGGGGAGGTTGGGGTTTGGCAGGGAGATGAGGGTGTGGCTTAGTGGGAGAACATCTGCATTGCATGCAGAAGGTTGCAGGTTCAATCCCTGACATCGCCAAGTAAGGCTGGAAGTGTCCCCTGCTGAAATCCTGGAAAGCCACTTTCAGTCAGTGCAGAAAACGCTGAGCTAAATGGACCAATGGTCCACCTTCCTATGTTTCTGGGCACAATCCAGCCAGCATCTACATGTTTATAGAACATATGCATAGAACTCTTGACATAGTACCTAAATGTTGGATAATAGACTAGGAATATCCCCCCACCTCAACTTCTGATTGTGCTCTTTGGACAAGGGATGGGATTTCCCCCCCTGTTTCTTTATGCAGAGCTGAACACATGAACCAGTCAATTGCAAGGGACAGAAAAATAGGCAGCAAAGTGCACCGTGTACCTTTCCAAATAGAATTTCTGAGTATATTTGTCAGAACTTGTTGCCATTGGTATGTAGCTTGTGCCCTAAACCTAATCGTCCAAGGCAAGGCTGTCCTCAGAGATTGCAGGTGCTCTCCCCACCCCCGCTGGCAGTCTTTATATTTTTAGGCAATTTGTAGCTGCCCTGGTGCTAAACGTTGCCCCCTTTTAAGTTAGGCTATTTAAATGTTTATCCTTTCTTTACTACTTGACCTTTTTTCTTGCTCAGCATTAGTTTTCTCTCTGCCCAGCTTGCTTTTGTATTTCATGAGCTCAGTAAACCGTGGCCTTCAATTCCCTTGTTCTGGTGTTTTCACTTAAGACCAGGAGTGATGAGCAAAAGGTTTCAGGCTCAATCCTTGAGCAAAGGGCCGCTGTGACAGGGATTATTATTTATTTGTCATCTTGGATGTAATAAGCTGTAGGTACAGCATCGAGAGCGCTTGATTTATTGCACTGTCGACTGCCACTAGCAGGACGTCTGCTGTACCGCGTAGGATGAATACCACACTGTCAGCTCTGTCGATCCGTCTCTGCCATGGCGCTCTCTCTCTCATAACACATTCCCATTTCATGCCAGAATACATAAACAATCTTTCATTATTTTGATGCCTTTTTCATATTTGTTCTTTACAGAACATAAAGTTTGAATTTATGGGTTTCCTTTACATTATTTCAACACACTCCACCATTTTACGGGTTTGTGGTTTAACTCTCAGAAATTGGCTGCCAGGTGATTTAGTTATTTTGGCTTTCTAGTTTTATAGTTATTTAATATCATAGGGTGCCAAATACTGAGGAAAATGTAGTGGATAGAATGTATGAGGTTTGGGTTAGACTCAGTCATCAGCAGAACTTGGCTAGGGCTAGAAAGGAGGGGGAAGGGTATAAAGTATAAACTCAGCACCTCTTCTCCCTTATTCTAACAATCCTGCTTGCTTAATTTCCCAAGGACTTTTTTGCTTATAAAAGAAATGGTTTTATCAGAGAGACACATAGCAAACTTAGCTCGAGGGGTGATAGGTAAGATTCAATTAAGAGAATTCTTAAATCAGTTGTAAACTCATTGAATTCAGGGGGACTTACTTCTGAGTAGACATGTATATGCACTGTTGTGGCTGAAGACGCACTTGCATAGTTTTCTGCACATGTTTCTGTGTAGAATAAGACACGGCTGCAAATCAAATCAAGTGTTTTTGATAGTAATGCCATTGAGAGATTGAAGTACTTTACAAGATTGACACCCTCAACATAAATTTACTTTTCAGTTATTGAAATGTGAATCATGAAGGGTAAAAGTCAGCTCCTGTTAATGAAGCCTTGCTCCTTTTAGGGTTTTCAGTTAAAGTAATTGTACACCTTGATATGTACTTCCAGGCATACACACACCAGACATATAGAAATATACATTTAGGAATGAAAAGTGGAGTGCAAGGATTGTTTAGTGTTACATTTAATAACCAAGAAGTTGTATTTATTATACTAGTGGAAAAAAGGAATACTTTCTCAAGATTTAATGAATGTGGACTTGAATATACAAATGCAAGTTTGTCAGTTGTTTGTTCCTAATACAGCTTTCATCAGGACAGATGGGAATATGCTGAGCTCACATTACACAGCAGAGGCTTGCTTTCTGGTTGCAAAGAAAACTTGAGTTAATTAATGTGAGAAATTTTGTTTTGCATCCCTGCCTTGTTGTTGTTGTTGTTGTTGTTGTTTTAAGAGGACTGCAGAAGCTTAGTGTTGCCAGCAGAAGCTGCTTGTCACTTTGACCTGCTCTGTTAAGTGTCTGATGTGTTTTCTCAGAGTAATCTGTGAATAACATTACATCCAGCTAGCAGAGAAACAGGGAGTGATAGCAGAATTAATATCTCGAAGCGTTGATAATTATATATCAGAATCTAATTTTTAGCACAGAAAATGTGTTAATGACAGAGGAGAAAACAAAAACCACTCGCTTCTCCCAGCAGGATCCAAAGTGTCATTTATTATTTCTCAGCTGGGTATCTATCAAGTTTATGGGTTAATTTTTCTGTAGACTGTTATTTATGGGTTTTTGTTTGTTTTCAGCCATCATTACTAACAATACGGTTAATAGCAATCATTTGTTATCCGGCACCAGCGGTGATGCTTCAGATGTGAGCAGTGAACTGAGAATACTCATTTGGTAGCTGAATAAGGCTTTGACAGGGCCCATTTATAACAAGCTCATTCCATAATGTCCAGCCTATTAATAAAATTTTGTTGCTGTCTAATTAGAGATGTCTGTGTATAGTAGCATGGCAGAGAAGACTTCCTTGTTTTTTGCTTTTTTAGGTCTCTTCTGTCATATCTACACATGGGCAAAATGGTTTGGGTTGCACAAAATGAAGGTGTTCTTTCTCCTACGTTTCAGCTCTCCATAAATAGGTTCAAGCAAGTACAACCATTGTGCAGAAGAAAGTGGGGAAAGTCGTTAGAAGGATGCCTTATAGTCTTTGGAGTGTTGGGGAAGAGTTGATTGGGGAATTCCAGTACCCCTCCTTTTGATAGAAGGCATGGTGGGTTTGGGAGGCAGTTTGGGTAGTCAGCTGTTATGGTGTTCCTGTAGAGGAGACTTATGGGAACTTGTGGAAGAAGGTTAGCAAAGAGTAGAAAGGAGGGTGTGGAGGAGGATCCTGGCTGGGTTTTCTTTGTTTGTTTTTTGCTTTTTGCTTGCTTTTGTTATTTGCCTTGAAATAATAACAACTCAGGCTAAACTAAAACAACTTCCCTCATTCCATGTTTCCCCCCCATGTGTGTTGAAAAACACCTCTCATTTTTCAACATTATTTAAAACATGCCTTTCCTCAACGGGGCCAAGGCAGCTAACAACACGTTAAAAGAATGACTTAACAGTTTGAATTTCTTTTTGACAACAATAAATGCAATAAAGCAGTCATAAAGCACCAAAGGAGCAGAGAGAGAAAGAGTTTAAATGTACAAACTACCATTAAAAAATCATTTAGCCACAGTAATTAAAACCACTTCCAGAAGACAGCAATTATATATGGTCCAAAGGTCTTCCTAAAAAGAAGAGTTTGGTCATCTTTTGGAAGGCCATTTATAGAGGAGGCAAAACAGACCTCTCTCAGAAAGGAGTTTCAAAGCCTGGGGGACCCCCCCCCCTTTTTGAAGTTGTGAACACATTCATGTTGTTGCTGTTCTTGGGGCCATTTTCTTCCTCCTTTTTTGACCTCAGCCAGATGCATATTCCTCCATCGCAGAGGGTTGGACTAAATGATGCTTGGTGTCCCTTGCAACTCTACAATTCTGTGAGTGTACATCTGCTTAATTCTGTTGGTTGGGGCTGCTCATGAGTTTGCCGCTGATGTCATAATGACATCCTTGACATTATGACATCACAAAAACTATAGACTCAACCCATGCAGTTAGCCATAGCCACTCAAATACAGCAGCAGGATGAACAGATGAAGCTGGATCAAATTTTGTTGTTATTTTTTCCAATTTCTATCCTGCCCTTCCTCTCGAAGGAGCTCAGGATGGCAAAATTGCTTGCAGAGGAGGAACAAAAGGGTTCAGTGAAGCAGCAGCATCATGGAGAAATATTAGGACACTGACAGAATCCAAAAAAATGCAAATGGTCATTGATGTGAGTGTTAAAATTGGTAATCCAATCGGCTGGATTGTGTGCTTTTTTTCAGAGCAAGGAGCTGAATTCTAGAGTATTTGCTGAGTATCTCTCTCACAATACAAATAATAAAGTAGTACATATCTATACCCCATTTCTATAAATGAGCATAATGTTATATTAAATTGTTGCCTATGGTTTTAGGAGAAAGGTAGTGACTTTATCTCTTCTCTCCATTTTTGGGTTGAGAGGGTATGTTTCGACCTGAATCTGACTCCTGTGCTAATTAGTTTTGCAAAATAAGCAGGCTGTGAAGACGCCAGGTGAGGAAACGAACAAAAACACCCAACACTACAATTTCGAGGCCAAGTTCCAGTACAGTGCTTTAGTTGCCTTTTTATCATGTATTGTCTGAAATAATTCCTCTAATCATATCCATTCCTTGAACCTGCAGCACTTTTTACATTTTAGTCCACAGTATATGTTGTTTTCAAAATGCTGGGCTGCTGTTCTCTGCCCCTTAATAGGGAGCATTTTTTAACATCAGAAAACTGATGTCATCATGAGCAAATAAAGGAAGGTTATTTGGAAAACCTTTAATTTTAAAAAGCATGCACATGAATGAACTTAGAATCTTGAAAACAGCTTTTGTCTAACATAATGTCCCGGAAATCTTTATTTTCTACATATTCAAGCTATACCTGATCTTGGAACCCTCTCCTGAATATTGTGCTTTCCAGTTAAGATCATAAAGTAATTCAGTTCTACTTTGTCTTATTTGAAATACACCATCTTCATCTGAGATTACTATAAAAATGCTGTGAGCAATTCTGCTGGCTGAGACCTTGTGTAAAGCACCTGTGCTTTCTTTCCTAAACTACACTTGACATAGAGCTTATCAACCCTTAATTAGTGATACATTTTCTCCCTGTGATTTCTATTGATGTTTCGTTGAGGAAAGACGAATTGAACCTCAACCTGACTAGAGTACGAATTGTTTTAGAAAATTCAACAAACATCTCTCTTTGTGTCTCTTCTTTTGCTTATTCCCCTTCGATAGAAAAGGTGAAAAGCTGTACGATAGAAATCAGGTTCTGTATTAGTGTTTTTGCTTGCCTGTGCAATAGAAAACGACAAGCGTCAGGGCCTCAGTCAGCAGATCAGGGAGACACAGATGGGAGGCGAAAAGCTCCCTTGTGGCAGCAGGATTGCTTGGATGTGATTGTGAGAGCCAGGATGAAGTCGGCACTGACAAAGTGTGTGGATTGATGGATGGACAAAGCTGGGAACTGGATGCGAGAATGGATGAGGGCAGAGGGGGAATTTAACACAGACAAACAGAGTGAAAGACAGAGAGGAATTGCCTGCTAAAGTATTCCGGCAGTCAGAGCCCACAAGCAATTTACTTACTGCTAACAGAACGCGGGAGGATTTTTCTGCAGATATTCCTAAAATACATCAAAAGACTGAGCATGTACCAAATTCCAGCACAGGTGGTAGTTATCTCCCATCCCACAATTCACACTACTTGATAATTTTTCACAGTATGTTTTCAACTGTATATTTTTTCCACATTTCAGTTGTTTCTCCTTAAATCTGTCTGCACCAATTATTGTTGCTTTTCTGCCACCAATAATACTATTTATTCTCTTTAATAACAAATAAATCCCAGATTGCAAGTTTTCCTTCAGGTGCAGAATATGGAAATTCATTATGGTGTCAAATTAAATACAAGAGCACTGACAACTGATAGAAATGTAAGATTTAATAATAAAAAACCTTGGAACAAAGTCAAAACTTTGTTCCTACTTCTGTGTCTCTCTATGAGATGTAGGATGTGAATTATAGGTATGTTTCCTTAAGGAAAGTAATCATTCTCAAACCAATAATGTTCAACGTAAGTGAAGTGAATGATTAAGATTTATCTGTGATCCACTTTGTTACAGCTTTAAATCTGCATCTGTTTACTTGGTTTCATCTAAATCTATATATACATTTTTTAAAATAGAACTTCATTATTGTATGCCACTTTGGGCATTTTTATGGAAAGGTGAGGTATAAACATTTTAAATAAATTAGATGATAAATGTATTTAATATGCTAAGTATTTGAGGTGCAATAATGGTTAATGATTGTTTTCATCCTTCTACTGTAATAGTGCAAGTACAATATCCTATAGTTTCTCTTTACAGTATGAAAATTCCCATATGTGGTAATGCAAATATATTTCAAATTATTCTGGTGTTTCAAAAGTTGGTGCATGCTTAAAAGAATTATGCTTGCAGATCTACAGAATACGTTGCTGCTGTTTATAAAAAAATATACCTAGCCAGTTCATTGCTTTTACTTTTCAGCCCATGATACAACATTCTTTAAAATTAGACAATTTATATCATTCTCAAGCTTCTCTAATGAATTATTTGAGCTGGGAAAATGAACTATATAACTAATGTAAGTTTAGCATTACAAGAATGAGTCTAAGCTCTTCCTGGGCATGTACACCTCCTCCTCTGACCCAGCTGTGAGGATGTGTTCTGAAGCTTTTGCTTCCATTTTTATTTTAACTAAACACAGCTTGCTATGTTGCCACAGCCCAGATAAGCTGGTTAATCTTAACTATGCTTAGCGGAAACAAGCCAACTTCAAATCACTGTTTATTAAGCTAGCTTGTTTTTCAGTAGCCATAGTTAAGAGTAGCCACAGTTCCGCCACCTCATGAGAAGAGAAGACTCCCTGGAAAAGACCCTGATGTTGGGAAAGATGGAGGGCACAAGGAGAAGGGGACGGCAGAGGACGAGATGGTTGGACAGTGTTCTCGAAGCTACCAACATGAGTTTGACCAAACTGCGGGAGGCAGTGGAAGACAGGAGTGCCTGGCATGCTCTGGTCCATGAGGTCACGAAGAGTCGGACACGAGTGAATAATTAAACAACAACAACAAAATGGAATATTGATTGACTTGGTATTTATATTTGCAAAGTATAATAATCATACAGAGACATGTTCCTTCTTTATAGGCCATTTTGTGTGCTAGATATTAACTGTAATTAAATTTAGAACATATTGTTAAGAAAAATCCCATCCCCAGCACTTATGGTAGTAGAGATATTGATCTTACAACTGTTTTGAAGTGAATGCAACAACTGTCTTTATTCTGGTCTCACTAGCTTCAAATTAGGCCTTCCCATTCCTGTTCTATCCAGTTCTGTATTAAAGACACTGTGTGTGATGTGGTGATGGAGCTCTCTTTTATACATTCCTTTCCACCTTTTTATAGTGGGAAAAGTTTGGAATGAATTTGCCTAAAAGGAAAAAACACACAAAACAAATCAGTTTGTAATAAATCTTCTTGTGGTGTGTGTACCTTCATTTCTTTCATTTGACCTTGGCGGAGCAGGCTGATGGGGCAGTGAAAAATATGATATGAAAAATGAGTGAGCAGAGCGAGGTGAGCAGTGAATCAGTCTTGTGTGTCATTAGCTTTGAAAATCTCACAAACATTACTGAGTCACTTTGCTTCCCCCTTTTTCTTCTTCCTCTCCCAGACCTATTGTACTGTCAGGGTATATTGGTTGATCATGTTGCTTGATACAACAATAATATTTTAATACAGGCTTTGATTGAATCTTTTAAGTAAACCAGTGGTGTTGATAAGTCCAATTGTCTTTCAATTAAAACACAACAAGTTAATTGCATAATAATAACACCATTCAGATAGGACCTAGCCTACTCTGGAAGCTATTGTGATATACGCCCTTCTAGCCATGTGTAAAAATGGTACGTTATAACAGTACCTGTCTGTCATTCATGACAGTGGTGTCTGAGAGAATTGCACAAAACAGTGATACAAAAATGGAATCCTGGAAAAAAACAAGCCTTTGGCTGGTATTGAAATGTTAGCAAAGTGTGTACCATCTAAGCTTCCCTGGGAGGGTGTGACTGACATTCCACAGGTGGGTTATAATATCAAATATGTAATATTTCTGTCTTAGCTTTTTAAGTGTTTGGACTTTAGGGTTCCAATATTCAATACATTTGCCAGTCAGTTATTTGTTAGGATTGTCAGATGGGATGAATCTCCAGTAGCCTGATCTCTTGAATAAGCCCATGCTCTTAGTGGGAGAAACTCTGTGAACAAAGTACTTCACTGCATGATTCCCAAATTGTGGTCTGTGGACCACCAGTGTTCTGTGAACTTCATTCAGTGGTCCACAGCATGTCCACATCAAATATTCATAAGTTTTGTTTCATCTTTTTTACAATTTGAGCAATAAAGGGGGAGCAATAAAAATACAATTAAAACTCATACAGCATCTAGATCAGTACATTATACCGTATTTTTTGCTCTATAGGACGCACTTTTTCCCCTCCAAAAATTAAGGGGAAATGTGTGTGCGTCCTATAGAGCGAATGCAGGCTCCTTGGCTTCAGCGATAGCAACATGAAGCCTCCGAAGCTCAGAGGGAGCACTCCCTCCGCGCTCCGGAGGCTTCATGTTGCTTTCGCTGAAGCCTGGAGACCAAGAGGGGTCGGTGCATACCGACCCCTCTTGCTCTCCCGGCATCAGGGATAGCCGCCTGAAGCCTTCGGAGCGCAGCGCGAGTTCCTGCTGCATTCTGCAGGCTCCAGGTTCCTTTCACTGAAGCCGGGAGAGTCTTGCTCTCCCGGCTTCAGCAAAAGGAACCCGATAACAATTCTCTCCTGGCTTCAGCAGAGAGGGAGAGCTGCGTAGCGTCCCTTCAGCGAAGCGGGAGGAGAAATGGAAGGGGCTCCATTTCTCCTGCCGCTTCGCTGAAGGGGCGCTGAGCAGAGAGGGGGAGAATTTTTTTTTCTTGTTCTCCCCCTCTAAAACAAGGTGCATCCTATGGTCCGGTGTGTCCTATAGAGTGAAAAATACGGTAATTGCTGCAACAAGCAGAAAAGTTAAGTGGTCCACCAGGAACCTCAGCCACTTTCAAGTCCATGGGAAACAAAAACTGGAAACCATTGCTTTAATAGTTTCCAAAATGGGTAAAAGAGGTATTTCATCTCCTCCTCTGGAGGAAAGTATGCTTTAAAATGCTTCGGAGGGTTTAGTAATCCATTTGAATTCATATTATTTTTCTGAATGAAAAAAATAGATAAATTATATTCTTTTCTGTTTCTGTGAGTGGTAAAGATGGGCCTATCTACCCCTTTCCTTAAGCCTCACTCTGTCAGGTGGGTAGAGAGGCCTTGCTGCTTCACCTGTTCCCAGCATCCCACAAATCTAGTTCCAAAACAGCATATTGGCAGTGCCGTTGTTGAGCCCTGGAATGTGGCAAACAAGCAAGATCTCATTAAATCAAAGACAGCAGGTCACAAAGGCTCTAACCAAGGACATGATTCTAGGGCTCTTAGGTTTCAGGGAGTTTGTGCCTCTCACTGTGGCCTGGTTGTCACACCAATCAAGTTAAGACAATCAAGTTAGTCATGTCAGAAATCCACAGCCAAACTACCAATACTTCTATTGGGGTCCTAAAGAACAGTTTCTGAAGACTCAAGAGACCATGTTCCTAACAGCAGTCCTCAAAGCAGCTTTTACCTCAGGCCAATTTCTCCAGACTTCCACCCCAGGCAATTACTCCCCCAACCCAGTCCACCTACTAGGGACAATCTGCCTCTGTACACCATAACTCCTCTGGTTCTACTTGTAGCTTATTGGACACTTTAGCCCACTTGTATAACCTTCCTCTGGTAAGATCTTTACACAAGGTAGCCTCTCGGGCTAATTCAGCCACCAGCTCCTTCGCTGATGTACACTCTGGAATTGTTGGCAACACTGCTTCGTTTGGGGGAGTCCTTTTTTTACATTTCAATCCATCAATGATATATTCTGTTGTAATCCCATAGTTATGGCTGGAAAGGGGTGAGATTCATTTCCACTAGATGTAGCAATGGTCACTGGGTTTAATGGGTTTACAAGGGAATTAAATAGGTAAATGGAATTTCTATTTTCAGTCAGTATATCTCTGATTCCTAGTTGCCGGGGGATTATCAGAGCAAGGATATGTTAGATTAATGTGTATTATTTAGATTTGATAGTGTGTTTGGGTTGGAGAGGTGGTTGTGCTTTCTGTTCCAGCCACTGCCATTTTTTAACTAGTTGTAGTTCGAATTGCCATTTTCTGGGAGATAATGAATAGCAAAGCTCATAGCCAAGATTATGGAAGTGGGACTCTGCAGAGGGCAGCTGCCAGGAAGGTATACCAAACCAAGATAGGAAATCAGTTTAGCTGTAGTGTGTTTAGTTCTAACTCAAAGCCTCCCACACAGCCCTGCTTTAAACTGGATTTTAAAGTATTTTGGCACATGATCTTATCCAGTTCATCTTTCCTGAGGTGAAATGCTGGGGTGTTCAAAATGTATTAATCTTGTGGTGTAGAATCCAGGTTTTTTATGGTGAAAGAGACACTTCAGAGGCAGCTTGGCTTATTTTTCAGTTTTCTTGTTCAGTTCTTTTAAGCACAAAGGTCCTTTTCTAGGTGACATATCATGTTGTATTCCAAAGTACACTTTCCTTTAATTTACAACTTAATTTTCAACCTAATTCAGAAGATTGATACTATAATGCTATTTGCAGAAGTA